TGGTCTTGGAGACTTCAGGCCGTTTTGCACTAATTCTTAATAAATAACATTTCCTGAAGAGAGGATATGACTTATGCTTGAAACCGATAAATCCTCTTCTTAGGGAGGAAGGAATCTTATCTCGTTTGTCCAAGCCGATGAGGAACACTGAAAAAAATATGCAGCCCCATCCCTGCCTTCAGCAATATCACCGCTCTCAATAGTCTTTATCAAGGGGTTTGATGCCTGTTCCTAGTACTTACTATGGGGTAACTGTAGAGTAAGTTGAGCTTCTGTGTTGCGTCTGTTTCACATTATTTTCAACTTTCAATGATTTCAAAGACTACGCTGGTGGAATGTTTGACTTCTCAAGTGACACAGTGTTTTCTTCGAAATTTATTACCCCAACTGAGCGCAACTGAGCACGATGGAATTATTCTGCGCTCCAACTGGGACAATTTCGACTTGGTTACCATTCCACAGTTACAGTCTCTGACATTGATACTGGAACCGGACGTACAGAATTACTTGGTGCATTTTTGGAATATTTTTTCACGCATCGAAATTCTTCAGGAACCTGGATTAAGTGCAATTTGTTTATCAGCACGGTCCAACTGACAACGCAACTGGCTACGCAACCGATTCGCGGATATACAGCCTGGAAAACCAATCGTTCAAAATCCTTCAAGGTCTGCAGTGATTCTAGTCCCACGAGATCTGGAAAGGGCTAAGTCGCTTCTGATTAAATGCAACAAAATTTATCGGATTTTAAGTATTTTTTCGCTTATTGAGTTTTGAATACTCTTTTTAATTCATCATATATAAGCCGACGTATTCGTTATAACATCGAAAGCGAAATTATACCTATTATATCACGTCGAAGTTCATGGATTCTCAGCAAGCTAACTGTAGTAGTACGGCCAGCGACGGCACCTCTTTGGAAGATAAGTCCGGTGAGTTGTCCTTCGCATACAGAACCTGTGCTCGCTCTAACTTCGCCTCCAGCCAACGACCAGCAAAGCGTGCAAAAAGCGTAAATACCGCAAAAAGTGTGAGGTACGAAGATGAGCCTTGTGGTGGGTGCGCAGATATTCAAACCAAAGTAGAACAACTGGAAAAGGAGCTTGCTGATTTAAGGACGCTCGTGAAACAGACCGTAGTCGGCCAGAGCGTGTCCAGTGTTAGAATCCCAAAAACGAAGAGCAAAACGCAAAAAACGCGAAAAAATATCTCCTCGGGGAATCTTCAAACACGAGTAGTAACTCAACAGCCAAAACCGCAGACGCCGGTAACAGCAGGACAATGAAAACGAAGCCGCCGATAAAGGGAGACTCGATTCCCACGCACGATGTCTTAAGCGATGTCGCAAAAAAATTACCTGTCGCGGAAGCCATCTCACCTAAGCCTCTTGCTGTAATTGATAGGATTTCTCTTCTGCCCGGAGACGATATACCTGGGTCATCCAGTCTACTGTTGCCCTCTTGTTCTGGCAACCACCCTGAGCGCACTACAGAGCACGTATCTGAATGCGAAGACATAAACCCGTGGGTAGAGGGAAGATGGAAACGCCATGACAGGATTCTGAAGTCACAGCCAGCCCTGATGGGTTGCTCGGGACAGACGGTAGACAGTAAAAGTGTGCGTTCAAGCGATGACTCCGTAAATCGTCCTCGCTCACATGCAGCGCATTCACCGGAAAGACGGAGTAAGGAGGACCATGCTCGCCAGCAGTGTCTGGTTATTCAGGGTTTGTCAGAATCGAATGCAGTCAGACCTGAAGACCGTGTCTCAGAGGACCTTGCTTATTTTCATGGTCTGCTAAATCATTTCCTGCCGGCAGACATTGAAATAAAGGTTCTGAAAGCATTCCGGATAGGAAAAAGGAGTGAAGACAGGACAGCAGCACAACCATCTCGCCCTCTTAAAATTATGCTGGAGAACAAAGAGCAAATCAAGTTTATCCTCTCTAAAAAAACCGATCTGAGAAACACACACAAACAGGTTTTTTTCAACCGGACTACTCACCAGTGGAACGCCTGAAACGGCGGGAACTTGTCTTGGAGTTAAAATCAAGACCGAAGGGTGGCGAACACAATCCGGCTATCTTCAAGGGGAAGGTAGTTCGGAAATATATGCCGTTTCAGTGGAACCATCCTGTAATACTACGAACGACGACAGTTACTCAGCTAAAACAGACACCTTCGTTGAACCACCTGATTAAGGCGCCAACACAAGTGAGCCCGTAGCGTCCAGTGATCTGACTGAAACAAGGCATGTAAATGGAACCAATCAGGCAACGGAAGAGCCTAGAGAACACGACGTACGCGATAACGGAGTAATGCTCACAGCAGTAACAAATGCAACGGGAAATTCGGCTGGTGCTAAACTGAGGTGCTTGTACACGAATGCCCAAAGCCTCATATCGAAACTAGACGAACTAAAACTTTGCCTTGTTGAGCTGTCTCCAGATGTTTTAGCAGTAACTGAGACCTGGCTGTCCGGGAATATTAGCGATAACGAAGTAGCCTTGCCTGGATACCAAATTTATCGGAGGGACAGGGAACATCGTCAGGGTGGTGTTATCGTTGTATATGTGAATGACGGTCTGGCAGTGTCGGATAACAGCACTTAGTTTGCGTGCAGTACGGAAGCTATCTGGTTGACCACCAAGGCTACCGGTTCCCCGTGTCTCGATGTCCTCACTGTCTACTGA